AGAAGACACGTCTGACTGGCGCAGTCCGATTTTACTGTTGGGAAAATTCACACGTCCAACTTATGGTATCGCGGATGCCCATTGTTTTTTTCTTTTTTTTTTCCTCTTTTTAAAACGATGTATACAATTCTAGGATAATTCAATTCTAAGATTTTATTTAGAAAAAGTTTATTTCGCATTTAGAGATATAAAAATAACAAAATGAGATTTATAAAAAATTTTTTCCTCATTCAAAAATACAAGATACGATTATAAATGAAACTTGCAATATTTCTCCTTAAAAGATGTAATTAATATATAATCAACATTAAATTATCGATATTCAAGAAAATTATAATTATAATATATAATTATTATACTATAGTACATAATTATAGTACATGTTATATTGAACGATATCGTAATATCGATTAAAATCAAGAAGTATCTGTTAACGGTTAATAAGAAGAGGAATCTTTTTCCTTCTTTTTTTTTTTTTTGTTTTTTTTTTATTAATTCCAGATCTTTATCTTTATTTCAACCTTCATCGTAAAACATGTGTCGGATTTTCATAATTATGCACGTCATGATGTTGCACATAGCGGAATAGATATGATGTTATTTTTATCTGTTTATTTGTGTATAGTCAAATTATAACTAAAATTATTTATTCGAATCATTCTTAAATTAGTAATAATAAATTTAAACGATACGAATATTTATCTTTCTAAATGATTTTGAAAAATTGCTTCCACATGTTTAATACAAGCGTGACAAAAATCTTTCATATTTTCGGAACAGAATTTCTTATAATCATTTATCTTCTTCTTCTTTGTGATAAGGAAAGAAAATCTCGTGCATCTGAACTTCTATTAATAAACTATATTTTCATAGAACAAATATGTACAAAATTCCGTTCATAATTATTCTGTTACAATATAATATTCAACAGTCATATCTCGTTATGGTCTAATTTTTTATTGTTCCTTCACACGTATACCGATCAAAAATCGATTTTACTTGTTCATCACGTCATCGTCTCAGCTTAATCACGTGCAAATCAACGAAAAAAATCACGCATTATTATGTACGAAGGAAAGAAACGATCTGATTAACCATTTGGCGTGTATTAAGGCAAACTTATTTATGACAAGTGGGCGATAAGTTACAAAAATATTATCCCTTATCTTTATGATTTCTGCCCCGTTATCAGATATAAAGACGTAACTCTGTGTGCCGCAGATAGATATAGTTTTTAGTCGTATTTTAATCGTACGGGAAGTGTGACATACGACAAAGTACGATTTATACGAGTGTACGAGTGCCATATTAGAATATGGACGAGCTCAATGGTAAATCCATCTGAATGAATTTCGAATCACTTAAACGATATTTCACCCGTGAATAACATTTGATTATTTCGCGATTCGAGAACAGTGTTTTTTTTTTTTTTTTTTTGTATAATATATACAAATGTATTGGAATATCAATCATTGGTTATCAATGGTCACGATGACATATGTCCAATTTTGACACGGTTGCAATCGTGACGAATGCGTTTAAGTTATTTTTAATTGTTTTGAGAAAGTGTGATATCCAAGTTTGAAAGTAAATTCTTTTCGTTTCACTTGTTCGATTGTATATCACGCTTTTATTTGTAGCCATTCATCTCTCTCTTAAATCGCACGCTCGAAATACTCTCTTTTTCTTAATTTTATAATTCGCTTGCTTGAATGAAACACTTGAATCTTTTATATGCAATTTAGAGAATGCTTTTGCATACTTTCTTATATTTAATTTAAATCATTAAAATCTCAATCTCGATTTTAATCAAATTGTAAAAAGAACATGATGTATTCTATGTTTCGAATATTCGAATGATTATACAATTTAAATAATATTTCGAAATTAATTAAATTTCATCGCTTTCATCAGTAAAAAATAATTAAATATCTTTATATATATTCTATATAAATTCTACACTTTCTTATATAACTTATAATCATCTTTTCTTGAGATGAGTTTTATGAATTTAATATATTTCTTAAATAATAATTTATTTCGTTCTAATCCATTATCCGTAATTTTCACAAGAATTTTTCCTTTAAACCACGGAATATCGTTATCCTCATTTGATGATTAATATAGAAACGTCATATAAACTATTTTTATTCCGATTACGTGAAATTTTCGCATTTCGTGCGAAAGAATAAAATATCGGCACCTCGATAGAGGACATTGTTCGCGATAGCGAAATGGCCACGTTAATATTTGATCGGTTTTTATTTCTAAAATAGCATATGGCGGTACAAAGTAGTGACAGATATCGATCGTCGCGATTACCGATGTCGAGATGGCCTACCTTCGCGTTATGTTCATTCTCTCGTTCAGCCTACTTTTCTTTCTTTCTCTCTCTCTCTCTCTCTCCCTCTCTTTTTCTCGAAAAATATTTATAGCCTTTTATTCCACGCGTGAATATATTTCCTCGTTCAAAACAAACTTGCTGATCGATTTATATTTCATCGTGTTTGCGCTGTTTTCGCTGATTGCGTTCGGCGTCATTGAACTTCTGCAAACTTCAACGTTTGCTCGGATATCAAGAGTAATTAACACGAGATTATTTTTCATTCGAAACCACTGTAAGAGAACGTGAAAGTCACGAAGTTAAATATACATATCTGAATTAAATTGCAAATAACGTATACCAAATGTTTGATCGTACTCGGTAACATTGAACTTGAACGAAATTCAACTCGTTGTCTTGATAATTTTTATTCCATTTATTATTTAATTACAAGAAATTTAAAAAATTTCATAGAATCATAGATTTAAATATTTTTTTTAATAATTCTAAGTAACATCGAACTTCGATAAAGTTCTTTTTTATTATTTTTTTATTTAAAAAAATTAATAAATATATATATAAATTACGAAGTTGAATATATATATTTGATAAAATAACGATAAATATCATTCGTAAACATAAATATCTTTGGATAATATCATGTTGATACAATTATAATAAACATGTGAATCGAAACTAAATACATTCGTATTGAATATTATACGTCATGTGCGATAACAGATATATAATAATCGCAAAGATTGATAAAGATAGAATGATATCGTGTCATTTCGAAAGTAATGAAATTGGGAAGACGTGAAAAACACAGAATATATTTTGATTAAAAGATATGTTAGTTTTAACAGAAATAATATCATTTGGATTTTTTATGCGACGATGGGTAATAAACGCTTTTGTGACAAAAATAAATTTTCGTTTTGGAACGGTTAGCCTTCTCTCTAAAACTGTTATTTATCGTTCGTGTAACTCTTAATTTTATTGTGTGTCACTAGTGTACGATGGCGCCGAACAACAAAAATTGGTTTGTTCGACTAACCCACTTTAAAGAATGAGTTTCGTACCTTTTTATCGAAAATACGATATTCTAATGTTTTATATTCACTTTGGTTATATGAATAACGATCAACGTGTATAACATTCAGAATCATAAATATTTTATCATGGAACTTTGTTATCTAGACTTTATTTCAAAATCAATTCAAATTCATGATGATTTCGATCTAGATAAGCTAGATAAAATTTCTTAATCTTTAAAAAGAATTGTTCGCATTGATATTTCATATTGTGAATTTGATATTTTGTATAGAAAAAAATTATTATTTAAAGGATTATTAAAATTATTATTTAACCATATAATAAATATTACAAATGATAGTAATAATTTCTCTCATTTTTATGAATATATTATAAAATAAATATATAATATATAATATAATATATAAAATAATAAAATAATAATAAAATATAATAATAAAATATAATATATATAATATAATATATATAATAATATATATAAAAATAAATAAAATATGAATATATAAAAGCATAAGTAAAAATATGCAATTCAAATCAATATTCGATTCTTTAGAATATTATTTATTTATCGCGTTTGACAATTGAGTAAATTGATTGTATAAAAAAGTAAAAAAAAAAAATATATATATATATATACGATCATTTTCTCTCATTTATGTTCGAAGTATAGCCATCATTGTGTTTGATCTGAAACAAAGTTTAGAAAAATAGCTATCTAAAGTGTCATCGCGTATTGTAAAAATCAATATCATAGAGCTAGAAATAAAGTAGGTAGCAATATCCTCACAGAGGTTATATATAGTTCTATTTTCTAAAATTGACCAATACTATAAATAAACAATACTTTCCGTACATATATATACATATATCAATTTAATCAAATTATGAAAATGAAATATCTATAAATAATTTTTAATTATATCTAAAGGTTTATCCCATTATCGGAAAGCTTTTTTATTACATTTTGTTTATTATACTTTACTTAAGTAATCAAAAAGCGGTTTCTTTCATCTTTATGATCTAACAGTAAATATACTCTTTCTTTATTTTACTACAAACTTATTAGTCACAAATCTATTTCTGAAATTCTAAGAAATATAAAACAATAAAATTCTCTTTGAAATTTCCTTTGAAACTTGAAACGTTTGTTTCTTTGTGTAAATATTGCTATTATTTATGACATTGTCTAGTTTAATTTAGTATTTATAGATTAAACTTTATATTTTTTCTATAAGTGCGATTTCACTCTTCGAAAATATTAACTGTTATAAAACTTAAATCTGAAATAATTAAGTTTATTTTTTCTAGTCCTTTTTAATAGTCCAAGCTTTCATGTTTTAAACAATAATATTATAATTAAAATTATCAGAGAATTCGAATATATATTTTCATCATATATATTTTTAAATAAAAGTTGTCCACTTTTTCTTAAAGAAAAATAAATTAATGCTTCCATTTCTGAATATACTCTTAGATTATCTCAATAAGAAAACAACAATCTCTAAAAAAGTTGAGATTTTTCTTCTCAAAATTTATTCCCAACCACGAATGAACCATTGACTTAAAACATATATTGGAGGAAAATTATAAAACTGATCTGTATTCTGATTTGCGATTTCAGCAATGTCCTTGGAGGAATCGCGGCGTTCGCAGCGTCCGTACAGGTACGGGATGGTTCTCCTTTGCGTTGGTGCATTGATAAACTGGTTAGGCCTCGCGGAGAACTACGTCGAACCGGTACGATATGTCGGTGTTGCTTGCATAATAGCAGGCGCTCTTCTCATATGTGCCGCAATGTGTTGTTGGCTGCACGCACCGCCAAGTAGGGCAGCCATGCACACACAACACACAAATCATCCAATCACAGCACAAGTAAGTCTTCATACTTTTTTCTTTTTTTTAAGCCACGATAACGATAACCATTTTATTCCTTTGACTGATTAGCCAAATCTAGTCAAGAAAAATATATTCCGGCTTAAAAGCCTTATAATGCCTTTTATAAAATCTTAATTTATCTTAATTAAATATTAATTAAATACATTAGGATATTTATAAATTTGCAATTTTAATTATGTTATAATAAAATTAAAATTAACATAAAATTATTATTTAAATTTGTTAAAACTTTTGAGCGAGGATATAGATCCTCGAAGTAAGAAGACATTGAAAACTGGTTACTGAACAGAATAATTTTATTGAATTATCATCAATTGTAAATTGATCGAAAAAGGATTCCATTTTATAATTGCATAAAGTATTATCTCTCTCTTTATTTTTTTATTTTTAAATTTTGAATTTTAATAATATAGTAATAAGCGATACAAATTTTAGACTTTTACAGGTTTGTTTTTTATAATTTAATTTCAATTTTTTGAATAAGTGATTGTGCACTCTCGTAGATGATTGGAAAAATGAATATACGATACATCCTCATCTCTCTTTGTCCTTTATCAACATAGGTTTTATACGGGAGTTTTATATAGGATACTAGATAATTTATTTAGATTTCATTTGTTTCACAATTAAGTTTTTCTTTTTTGAATAATAAAATTTATTTTTATGCTACAACATTGTTGCATTGTAAAATATCATTAATAATATTAATTCAATTGTGGGAAAGATAATTATTTCTCCGATTTTATTGAATAATTGAAATCATGAATTCGGATAAGACACATCATAACAATTTATCATCATAATTATTATAATTTCATATAATTTTATTTGATTGATCGAATAGATGAAACCTAATCCCGTGCAAACAACCATCTTCTAAGAAAATTTGAAATCAATAATCAAATATATGCTTCTTCTTTTACGCTACACGTCTTTATATTTCAAGCAACTTAAGAACTAGTCACGTGTATCGATACATTTGATACACCCATGTACTATATCTCTAAGATATACTACTAACTAAGGATAAAAATAGATGAAAAACAAGTAAAATTTTACAAATAAATTTTACTCGTTTACTAAGTCAACAATAATGACAAAGTGTAGCGTACACATAACATTTTGAGTAAATGCCAGATGAAGATACTATGAATAGATTCATGAACTGCTCAGATCCTTGTGAAATAAATATTTTAACGAAAGAAATTAAAAATTTGACAGCATCAAACTAAACAAATATATAGGAAAGAATTATACTTTTCTATTTATTTTTATTATTATCATTCTTTTTATGAGAAAAGAATATATATATATCAGAACTTTCTTACCAATCTAATAATTTCCATTCAATAATTATTCCCACATATAGCACCGAGAAATTCTTATCTCTCAAGAACCAACCAGTTACCGTCTATAATTACCATCGACCGAAAGAGCAATTGAACCAAGAGGATTCCATTTCACGCGTCAAAGTCCTTTCTCCGCGTTTCGATTTACCAACCGTTTTATCGCATTTTAAAGGTTTCGAAATCGTGTGCTCTTGATTGAGACCTCAGAAGATTACATCGTTTTTTAGATCGATTCGGGTCAACCCCCTATTATAGATCGCGAACCTATCGGTATCTCTCTATAGACATGAGTAATAGTATATACGACTTAGTCGTAATTACCTAGCGTTTGTAAACAGGCTACGAGATAAAAATAATATGGGACGATCGAAATCGTTGCTACGCCTCTTATCTCACTCCATAAATCGTTTGATGGACCATAAATTCGAAGTAGTTAACACACGCCATGTGGTCTTTCGTAAATCAGCGTTAATTGTCGTAAATTTTTCGTGCAGACCGATTTCTTTCGAAGTGAAAATTTATGCACGACGATAAAAATCGATATTTCAAACGTGACGATCGATGATTAATTTTTGTAATTTCTCTTCTTCTTAACGAGCACGTTGCATCATAAAACCTATATAGTAATTTATTCATTTTAGAATTCATCTCAAACAATCGTGGAGGAATTTTTTTTTTCGTAATTAATTAATGTAAAACATGTTATTTCTTTTTTACTACTACTTTATGCTTCGTTAATTACAATTATCAGATTGTAATTAACGTTATAAGAGGTAATAATATTCATTTATTTCAAAAAAAATTGAATGATTAATAATAATAAGAAAAACAAAATAAAGAAATTGCATTCTAAGATAAAAATACAAAGAATGAATTTTCTCAATTTATTATTCTTCAGATTTTGATAAAAAAAATATGTTATATTGTGTAAAATCCATCTTGATAATGTCAATTAAGATTTTTTATAATAAAGTAAATTGAAGATAAAATAATAATTTTTTTTTAAATCGTTTTTCCAAAAAAATTGATTGTGACATTAAGAGCACTTAAATATAATATGCAATATCGATAAATAAGAATCAATAAATCGATAGGTACTTATATGCAATCCATAATAAACCAGTAATATGATACGATGATGTTAATAAAGTTCAACATTAACCATATTTATAAACGTATGTAAGAACAGCAAGTGAGATATGTCTACTTACATTAAGGTCTATTAAAATCATTACTTAGAAGTGCACGTGTACCTAATTTATTTTTGACATCATTTTTCTTCAAAATAATTTTCTTCTTTATTTTTTAAAATTACTTATATTGGGAATATTCCTTTATAGAAAATTACTTGTTACGCGATAACAGCAGGAAATATGATTATCAAATTAAAATAAAAAATATATATATATATATATATAATATATTCCATTGTATTAAGAGATTAATGGAATAATATCATAATATCTTAATTTACAAGACTTATATAAATTTCAGAAACGTGTGAATGATCGAAATCTCATGTTCTCCGATTTTCATTAGGCAAAGTCTTTTATCGCATATTTTCTCGCTATTCTATCTTTGCTCGTAATATCTCCTTTTGTTCTTCCTGTGTCATTGTAGGTGCACTTTCATTTCACTCGAATCTTGATCGTGCAAAAATTTTGATCTCGAAAACTCATATTCTTCCCTCTCTCTCTCCTTCATTTCTCTCTCTCTCTCTCTTTCTCTCTCTCTCTTTCTTTTCTTTTCTTTTTTTTTTTTTTTTGCTTCTAAAACGGTATGTAGGCGTAGTATAATCTCGGCTCAAAATAGCAGCCGTTCCTCTTTTCGTTGCACACGGGGAAACAATAGAAATGCAAAGGTCTATCTGCGGCTCGATGCATAAAGGAGGTCGCTGATAGTTAGAGTGCACTTATCTATTGCCGTAAGGATATTCACCCGGAAGCACCTATCTATATTTATCAACGGCCATCCTTCAATTATTCTACCGTGTCATAGATGCAATTGATATATGGAAGGATAAGACGAATGCCAATTCTCTCTTGTGTAATTACTTTTACACGAGAATTTGAAAATTTATGTCATTATTTAATGATTAACAAAACTAATTTTATTTAGAAAATAATTTTCTAAATATATAAGAAATAATGAAATAGAAATAGAATTTCTCTATCGTATTATATTCGATAGAAAATGGTGAAATGTTGAATTTATTTATTCATTAATGAAACTAATGAGAAAATACGCGATGATGTAATCAAAAGTTTGTTATTTATGATTTTTTTTATCTATGATTTGCTAAAAAATATTTAATTCAACACGAATTTCAAATATTCGTAATAATATATTAGTATTAATTTATGCCTTCAATTATCAATTATTTTAACTTTAATATCAATTATATCATAGATCATTAACTTTTAATCAGAAGATTTACTTAAAAATATTAATTAATTATTATTATGAAACATAACATGATATATCAAGATTTATATCCATCGAAATTTTTAATTATTGTAAATAATATTATTACGTAATATTCACAGTATAGAAGTATCATGTAAACATAGATAAAAAAATATATTTATTCTCACGATTCTTCATCTTCTTTTCTACATAATAAGGACAAGATTGTTCTAACAGATGATTCATCGAACAGCTCTTAGATCAATAAAAAAATTCTCACTTGCTTGAATTTTTATAAATGCAATTTCTATAAATTTGATGAAATGTAACATTATAAAAACTCGTAATTATAAACAGTAAAAACATCTCTATAAATAAATTATTACACGAAACAATTCAACGAAGGAATAGTCACGAAATGGCATTATGAGATAGCATGGCTCGAACGATCGTTGCCAGCGTTGCAAAATACCTGCACTGCAAATGGTGCAGTCAACGCAGTCTCATCTGGCGAAAGGAAAAAAAAAAAAGAAACAGAAACGTCGATTCGAATCCGAAGAAGAAAAATTGGTACTATTCTCAGTCATTCACCTAACGATACAAACCTGTGCGATTATGCAATTTTCCGCGGAGCTTTCTTTCTTTATAGCCTCGAATCCCGACCGCCGCTATTTTCATCCTGTACTGTATCCGCGATACGTAACTCTGCGGTAAACGCGCGCCCTTTCGTGACTTAGATCCGGCCAGCTATAAAGTTTCTAAAGAGTGTCGAGGCGAACACGTAGGTGGATATCTATAGACCAACCGCGATATATATAGAAGAATAATCATTTCGGGGTTAATATCCTTGCGGTCGAACGTGTAATATCGTCATAAAGTATTAAAGCGATATAAAAATCGATTCGTATGGAAGAAAAGTCGAAAGTTTCGAAAGGTGAAAGAAATTGATCGTTCGTAGACGTTTGGAGTGATAGAACTTTAATTTTAGGAATTTATCGATCGTCGATTTACATTTGATTTACTTCTCTTCTCGATTAGATGCTCGAATGAATGTAATTCCGTTTCTTTCAGATAGATGATCCGATCCATGTAATCTCCATCGAGGAACCATCTAGTGTATCCAGACAAAAACCACCAGATTACGAGGCGGTCACGGATGCGCCACCTAGCTACGATGACGCCATCAAGTTAAATCCTAGTCACCTATTTAGGAACAATAGTAGCACGTTGTCGTTGCCAACTGTGCACACAATGATCCCTAGAACAGTGGAGATCGTTTCTAGGGACCCTACACCATCACCGCCGCCGCCTTACGCGAGGTAAAATTTATTTTTACTCTTGAATGAAACGATCGATCGGTCTAACATGGTGTAGAGTACGTATAAAAAGAATGGATGAATAATTTCACTCGTAAATCGTTCGTGAGAACTACTTAACTTGTCCGTCATGTTGTTGAAAGATAGGGGTGAAATAAAGAAAGGGAATTCTATACATGTGGGAGGGACTATGACGCGATTTCGCTACTCGGACTTGTTCCGAGTAGTGTTACTAGTTATTCTATAAAACTTAGTGACGTCATGACGAGTATACAGTGATAGCTATAGCAAATCTCTATCTAGCTTAACCTGTCTGGGGAATTTATAACTGGAATTAACTAATACTTCCTACTAGTTAGAATCTTTTGCTCAAGTAATAGACAAGAATTGATAAGTTCAGATGGAGCATTGTTAACGCTTCAATGTCTTATATTTCTTTTGAATCAAAAGGAAAGCGAGTTTCAGTAGTATACGAGGGCAGGAATGAAAATTAATTAATTGCAAAGATTATCAATATAATTGTTATATAATAATTATCAATGTATAATAATTTAAACTTTCAAACTTCTTAATAAAATAATTAAATCATTGCATACGATTTTTCCTTTACTTGAATATTTTTCCATTCCAGGTGAGATATTTGGCAGCAGCAATAATGATCGCAACTAAACGAAAGGCTTGCGGCGTGCTGGAGGTCCAGCGTATTGCAATACAAATTACAGATTGCCCGAGTACAAAAGAGGGTGCGAAGAACTCCGTCATTTGTGTGTCAACTGTCACGGTAGCATTGATGATAGGGGTTGCACTCGAAACAATCATTTACGACGGATAATTATATCTCGTCGTAGCACTGGGCCTTGTTTTAGTAGATTAAAGATTTGTGTTCAATGAATCAAGCAAGTCCTCCATACAGGGCACCGCATTTGTCACTGTATCAACGCAACGATACACGATCGAAGGTAGAATCGAAGATGGAAGCGTCAATTGAATTAATGATCACGGTTTGATCGATGGATTCCAAATGGTGAAAGAGACGAAGATGGTGAATCGTCGAACGTTCTCAAGAAACTCGATGAACGAAAAGAACCGAAGAACTGAAGAAGAAGAGTCAATGGAGATGTGAACATTGTGCCTTCCGCAAAGCGCCTATTATTACTGAGAGAACAAGAGAGAGAGAGAGAGAGCGAGAGAGAGAGAGACACAAGCCTAAATGTTTGCACGAAATACTCATGACTCGATAACTAATTGCAGAATTGTTGAAACTTCAAGCGAACTTGAATCTGTAACTTGGGCACGATTATTGATTTCGTCTGGCTAATTTAGAGAGTGTCTAAAATAGCAAATACGAATCTTCGATAATAACGTTTCTTGCGTCTATATTATCTGAACATAATCTGAATGTATTCCTTGTGAAGAATGACGGCGTTCACCGTTGTCGAGTAATTTAAAAAGATCCTCAGAGATGAGAAAGGATAAAAGAATGAAAAGTAGGTGTCCTTAAAAAAAAAAGAGCGTAGGAACTGGAAAAGTTTCAAATTTCATTGCTTAGACAATCGTGCGGCTTTTTAGCGGAGATTAACTGTTTGCTTGCCATATGATTTCGATGATTGTCATTTTACACGATGTACATACCACATGCGAAAAATCATTCGCACGTCCATTTTATTGTGATATATAAAATGATGCAGAATTATACGATATACGTCACTATGTCGAATATGACGTTGCTTTGTGAAATAAGACTCTTTTTTTATAATGAAAATACAAAATATAATGATAAACAAATTTTAAATTCGAGAGTTTCTTCTTTATAATCCATTTCCATTATGTAGATATATAAAAAATATTGATCGAAAAATTTTATCCATTTCATTCCAACAATACATATCGAAATTTATTCGGCGTATTAAAATTTACAATACGATTAAAATAATATCGTGTTGAAGGATGAAAACGAACAAGTGGAAAATTTTGGAAAATTTCGTTGCAACATAAAATTAAGAAATATCCCGTGATTCTAATTTTTTCAAAATAAGGAAAAAAACTAACCCCATCTTCTTTTTTTCTTTCAAAAAGGAATAATTTCAAGATTCATCGATAAATACCCTTTATTCAATCGGAGTAACATTTATACTTACTTAAAGCATGTCATTGAACTTATATATTCGTACAACTTTATCAACGGCAACAATAATAATCATAATAATGACGAGAGAACGTAACGACAATAGTGGTAATAATGGCAATAATAGCAATAATATCGTCAGAATGATAACTCGTTGGGAGGAGGAACGGGCGCCATGTTGACTGTGAAATATCTCCGTTCATCCCTTTGTGTGTATTTGATTCGTGGTTGAGCAAAAAAATAGATCTAATCACAGTGACGATGTTAATTATAATGATAATGACAATGACAAGAATAATGATAACGTCGAAGATTAATCGTAATCATCGGCCGACTATCGCTATACTTTTTTTTTTTTTTTTCCTTTAATTTATTATTACTCTCACTACACGGTGTTTGGTTAAAGTATGTCCCTTTTCTCACGATATCTTTCATCCCGTCTGTCCACGAAACAGACGAATAATTGATTCCGCTGTATAATATCTCCTGTATTCGCCCACTTCCTATATATACACCGCCTCGTTCTACTGTAACAAAATTATTTCAGTCCGCAAAATATAATAAGCGTTGCACGCAAAATATCTTCGTCCCCTTTGATCGTCTCGCGTCTTTCTACATTTTCATTTGTTTTCTCTTCTTCTTTTTTTTTTTTTTTTTGTTAACTAATACTCGAGTTATTAACACACTGTGTTACTTGATAAATGTTAAAGATAATTTTTCTCGTATACGTATCAATGCCGGAGTAATGAACCAGAAACGCTACTGATTCGACGATGTGTATTGTCAGAAATATATGCTCTCCTTCGTCGAGCCCTCGATCGATTATTCAAGAGGCGGAAGATATTCTCGCGAAATACGCGCGGGAACTCATCGATATTTACACGCTCGATTCCTCGCGCGCAATTCGCGATTCATCAAAAAACTTACAATGTAGGGGGACGTAGATGCATCAACAAAAAAATAACAATTTACACAGACACAACCTGCGTACCAGGCACGCGTGTATCTGTTTATTATTAACAAACTTCATCGACGAAAGAAACAAACGTAGAAACGTTTCTCAAGCTATTGCACAAAAAATGAACGAGTATCCTTCGCCCTCACTCTTGATCGATCGACGATTCACGAGCACGAGGATCATCCCCGTGTTTCAGCTCGTCGATCCTCGATGCATCCTTCAACGCCCGATTCGATACTTAATTCGATAAATACACCGTGTTTACGATTGACATTTTTGATAATTAATCCTGTATCCACGACGATCACTGTGTACATTGTACCGTTGAATTGAATTTTGTGATTTTCCCGCGCAGGATTTCCTCTCTCATCGGCCATCTTTACGCACAATTAGCCAAGTGGATCGGTGATAATCACCACCGAATCGTCATAATATAATATTCGTAATATTCTCTGTCGACTATGTACACACTATGGACAACGTGTTTCGCCGTTTCGTAGACTCGTTGATAATATAAATGCGCCGGTATATTCGTCGCTATAGTATCCTATATCAGACAATAGTAAGAGTAGTGGTAGCAATAATAATAATTGGATTAGTCCTAGAAACGATCTTCGGTGGTTGTAACAGTGACAATAGTAATAATAATATCTAGCGGTAATAAGTACGCAATAGTAATTTATAATTAGCCATCGGTTCTTTTCTTTTTGTTTTTTTTTTCTTTTTTTTTTTTTTTCATTTTTCATTAGATAGCAGAAGCAGCATCGTAGCGGTTCCACATTCTCGTATTTTTAAACGTTTAATGGCTTAACGGATTAGTAACAGTTATCTGGTAAGAGCGATACGATTCGATATACATCTAAGCTAATCATCATTCGTGTTCTCTTCTGTGTACTTCATTATCTTCGTCTCTCTTTACATGTCTTAAGAATGATAACCACATTAACGTTTCTTTTTTTTTTCGTCGAATAATATATATATATATATATGTATATATTTATATAAATGCATTCTCTTCCGTCTATTTACAATCACGATTACTACGAGTCTTTGTGATTCTCGCAGTTGATCTTACATCCTACGCTCTTACGCCCTACGTGTTCATTATATACAAAAGATATCGCTATGAGCAACGTCAGTCCGCACGGTTCTACGAGATCGCACTGAATGATCATCAGAGGATATCCCTTAGATACCATTTTTTAAAACATTTACTAACAGTCTATACAATAGTCGTCGATGTGTCCAATATTCATTGCCGATTTATCGACAGTCGAAAGCACCGTTTTCCCTTGGTACACAAACAGATCACCCGATAATTCTTAAAAAGTTCATGTGAATTCTTCTCTCTTGACACGGAGAGACACCCTGACACAATATCTATCCGACAGAAGGTCTCTTCCTCTGCTCATTTACCGACACACGATTTGTGTTCACGTTTATCGCACGAATTGTCCCCTCAGTGTTGGCATGCACGCAAACATCCGTGTCAAACATCATGGTAACCGTTCAGCACCGCCACAATGATAACGAAGTCACCGCATGAAACACGTCCCTGTCACGTTGTATCCGATCATGGAGCTTTAAGGATGGTCTCAGATGGGTGTCGGTAGGACCGTGAAATCCTGCAGCGCGGTCTTCACCGTCTCGTATATCGGCCTGTTCGCCTCGTCCGCGCAATAACCATCGGCGGTGCACAGTGTCTGCAGCTTCGTCAGGTAACTGTCGAAGTTCTCGTGGCTCATCTTCTCTTGCGGTCCGCCTGGGGCGTTCGGTATTCGCACGTGCTCCAACAAAGTTATCATATTTTCGCGCAGCGATTGATAGTAATCGGTCAGATTGTTGTTTCGCTGAACAGTCGCCGCCGTTTCCTGCGGAGAAACGAACCTTTTTTTAAAAACATTCAGCTGTATTAAATGTGTATTTTGACACAAGTTAGATAAAAAAAAAAAGAAAGAAGAAGAAAATGTACACATGCGAACTAATAATTGTGAAAAAGTATCGATTTACGTGTTAATATATTTCGCACGAGTCGTAAATTAATTTAATTAACGTAAAATGATGCAGGATCCACAATCTGGACTAAAATTGTTATGAATTTTAACTTTATATCATCCCATTTAATCCTAAAATGGATCAATATTCTAACGTACAATGTTTAATCTCAAGAATTTCTCTACAATCACTTCCTAAATGAAACTTTTAGGTCCAAATTGGACCATGTTCTGTATAATTGGCAACCGGAAATCTCTCTGCCATTTCTATCAGCGGATGGTACATAATCGATTACCGACTGAGTACAAGCGTACTGACCTTTTCACCTTGTTTCAGCTGGTTCTCCATGGCGGTGATATCGGAGCGCAAGCGCAGCACCTGCGATTCGACCCGAGCATTCTCTCTCTGGAGTTCCGTGATCTCGGCCTCCAGTGTGTAGAGATCCTCGCTCTGGCCACTGGCGGTACCGCTACCACTCGTGTTACCCTGACCCGTACCCACCGCACCCCCGTGAGCCGGACCACTGGTGTCCACTCCTGAAGATAGGACATAGACGGTCCATTTAAGCCTGTCTACATGTATTCTCCTTTTTTTTTTCTTTCATTTCTCTCTTATTATATCTTTGCTTTTCTCGATTTCCAACAGCTTTCATCCTGTTCTCGAGACACAATTTCTTTTATTCGATATCGATACATTGTAGTATTGTACAAGAACAGTCTCGAGAAGACAGGTTTTGTTCGAAGAACGGAAAACCATCGGAAGACAAGAAGGCCAAATAAAAAAAAGTTCGATCAACCCAAGATCTTGGCCGAAGCTCGTCAACTCGAGCGCGAGTTTTTGTACAAAAGCTTTTTTGTTACAGAAGAAAAGATGTAACTAATTTACGTAATTCTTGACAGGTGTGCGGGATTCATATACAATAAAATGTGAGAATGTGGCGAGAGCGTATATGTAAGTAGCGCCAGGAAAGCTTCGGACAGCGATTTGGGTTGGCCTGTGGTTGAGTAAGATTGTTTCTTTTTTTTTTTTTTTTATAATTTTCTTTTCTTTTTTCTTTTCTTTTTTTTTTTTTTCTTTCTTTTTTGGAAAACAAGTGCATCGTCACATCGCAGGTTCGTTTTTATCGCACAACAATGATCGCTTGCTATAGTTATAGTCTAGAAAATAATCCCAAGTCGCTGCATGAGGATTTTGTCTGAAATATGGGATCGGTTACGGTTTCTTCTGCGAGTGGTTCGTGCTGAAGTGATAAGAAGATAAAAGAGTTCGATTAACTCGCAAACGCGACAACTTGGTTCTTTCGATGAAACGAGTGATGCGTTTAGCTCATTGACAGACGCACGAACCTGACAGGAGTGCCGCAGGAAAATAATGATCGAGGACGATGTTAGGGTGATTAAGAGGGTAGCGTGAGGTGCCATCATACCAGATAAGAAGAAAAAAATGGGAGACCCCGAGTGTTGGCCTCTGTTTGCTCAATCGTCATCGTAATTTTTACATGGAAAGGTAATGAAAAAAATTTAATTCGAGCTGAAATTATTAGAGTACTTTATTTTTTTTCTTTTTATTTCTCACCGTTGCTGCCAACACTCGGACGTCATCTCGTAAAAAGTAAAATTACTGGTGTGTGGATCTTGTATGTAACACCGAAAACACATAGAAAACAAATGGCGAGTACGTCAGTCCCTTACCTTCAAAAGTAAATGTTCTCCTCAAAGCTCAATGACAGGAAAGGAGCTGATCGTGATCCCAGAATAAATCAGAATATATTATTTTTCATTATAATGATATACGGTTGTTTTTCTTTTTTTTTTTTCTTTTTTTTTCTTTTCTTTTTTTTTGTCTTTACATTTTTCTTTCTCTTTTTTTATTCGTTTCTGTTTTTCTTGCACATAATAATGTAGGAATGGGATATTCGCGGGGGCTAAATTCGTAATTGGAAGAAGCAAAAGTGACACAGTGGAAGTCGAGATGCCCAATTCAGGTGTTTCTCTCTTTTTCTTTCTTTTTTTTTTTTTTTTTTTTTTTTCGTCCTTGGTCAAACAATTTCGTGCATCTCTGTCCTCTCGTGGAATAATAATAACAATAATAATAACAATAACAATAATAATAATAATAATAATAATAATAATAATAAAAAGATCTCGAAAACACCTGGATACCAACGTCTCAAAGAAATGGGATAGCGAGAACGTAACGTAACATTCAAGTATAAACGACTGAAAAAAATAACTGAATAAATGGATATAAGACAGAAAACAGGACAGGAAGAAGGACGAGGTTACTTTTGTTGGTATGACAGCACATCATTGCGTGAAGAGTAGAGTATGGCATAGTAGAGGATTCAATTATAAGGTCTTATATGCACAAGTTTATAAATAAATGTTTTCAGAATTTTGTCACGGCTTCTTTTTTTTTCTTCGTCTTTTCTTTTTTTCTTTTCTTTTTTTTTTTTTTTTTTTTTTTTTTTTTTGCTATCAACTCGTCCAAATTGCAACATCTAATTATGAATTAATGCTATATCGTTCTCAATTAGATCTCATTCGAAATACACGAAAGGCAATATAGAAAGAAAAAAAAACAAAATAAAATTATTATCTGGACGAGTGTACGGCGCGAGAAGAGAATAAAAAAAATAAAAAAAGAAAAAAATTCGCAATGATCATGCCTACTCTACAATTTTCGCTTCTACCCCACTGTGGTAGGCAATCACATGTCGCAACATCAGATCTGTGTAGCTCGACGTGAATGAGAATCACGAATTTTACAGTGAATCTTTCGATTCGTAATAATAATATATCGATCATCGTCGACTCGTTCACGACGAGCCAACCGATATCTCTCTCTTTCTTTCGTTCTTCGATTAATAATGATCCGCGTCGATTATAATCGAAGACATCAACGACATCTGAGGCAGCTTGATCCTCACCGGTGATTCCTTTGCTGTACATGCTCGACATGTCTTCGAACTTTGGCTTTTTCACCGCGTGACCCGCGATCGGGCAACCAGACAGTGATCTGTGAGTGGAGAACGACCCGTTTATATGCCCGATCCCGTCACAACCAGGCGTTGGACAATTCACACCCTCGAATTTCATCGCTGTCGCCGCGGCCACTGCTGCCTTGTGTTGTTCCACCGTGCCTCCGGACTCTAGTACTCGCATCTTGTTCCTGTTTGCAATTGGGCAGCCCGATGCGCTGCAACAAGTCGTTGTAATCGCAATTAAGGACAAGTTTGATAAAATTTTGAAATTTTTACCATTTCTGTGCAATAGACAAAGGAACAAAAGGAACAAAGAAACACTTAGGTTCTTTTCCAAGTGTTGAAAGACTTTTTTTCTTCGTGTTTTATAATTTGATTAGTCGTTGACGATTAATTATTATTAAAAAAAAGGAGGGAATTAAAATAATATGTATTTATCATTGATTAAATTTTTGTGAAACTTTATAGCGAGAATAAGGAAAATTAAACTTTGACTATTAATTAAAATTAATTAAATTAAATTTCTTTTAAGCTATATTACAATGAGAATTTATCGCTAATTATTATTATTATTTTTTTCTTCTTCTTCTTTACAGAATACTTTTAACACATTCTCAAACGCGAGAAAGCGGAAAATTTTTGCAACGAAATTACGAAGAAGAATTTAAAATTCGATGATATATAATTATTAATTAGTATAACGTAATTCTCCGTTAAAAAACGATGAGAAAATCTTACCTGCGATGCGACAAGAATTTACCAGTGGCATGGCCAGACCCGTCGCAACCGGGGATTGGACATCTGTAGTCCAAAATGCCAACACCACCATTACCAACACCACATAATCCATCCGCACAGAGATAGGAGAGAGCATGAAACGAGCGGAAACCGCTGGTTATTAGTCAGCGTCTTCGTCTTTGCGTTGGGAAGCGGATGGGGTTTAAGGGACACCGCGGCGAAAGGGATGGAACCGCCCCTTTTCGGTCTCCAGATCTTAGCACGTGCAATGCGGTCAGCAAGATTGCTGCGTGCAACGTGTGAAAGCGCAAATTGGGATCGCGATTATGTGTAACACAAGTTGCAGAGTTTGCAAAGAGACTAGAATCCCTCTCAATTAATCCCATTCTATCTTTCTCTCTAATCTTGATCAAATCTACGGTAGAGTCGATTCCGCTGATTTCGAGAATTATCCCTGATTATTTTCATCGATTTTCGAGGAAAACGATTTACCAATAAGATTGGAAAATTTGATATTATCAGATTTTTGAATCCGATCAAGGATAAGTAGTTAAAAATCGATGACTAACCTCAATGGTTCCGAGTCCTGTCCATCTCGAGGCTTGCTCTTCGGTTTGTTAGCACGCGGGCAACCTGATAAACTTCTGTGAGACGAGTAATTGCCGGTCACGTGTCCAGAACCGTCGCATCCTGGCGTGGGACACTTGAGCTCTTGAGAATGCGCTTGGATCTGGGAGCGATCGGCTCGCGGACAACCGGACAGGCTGGAAAGGAAACAAACGCCTCTGCTGTTTTAAACACGTTCCAGATATACCATGACGATTTTGCGCTACTTTCGATTCGATAGATAATATTCTTCCACTATTAACGTTTCGATAACGATCAGGATATTCGAGTTGAATGAGTAAGCAGCGCAGGAAATCCCCATGGTCAGGATCACGAACGGACACCTCAGGAACATCCAACGTTGGCTTCAGCAACACATCGCATGCAATTTACGCGACGTTGCCAAGAAGTCTCGGGTACTTACGCCAGATATATTCAGGTTAACATATTTAAATTCGAAAGAAGATCTCGATGAGATAAACATCGATACAGAGATCATTGAATTTTTCGTTTTCATTTTCGTTCAAGGAAGCAAGAAAGGATTCATCAGCTCATCGAGATCGTCTGGCACGATCGGCTGCTTACACATTAAACGATCATTCTTAAAACAGCCTCTATCGCGATTCACTTTTTTTTTTTTTTTGGACGACTTGCCTTGCGTCCAGTTCGAACGAAGACATTTTTAAAGGCTCGTTTCGCACGTTCCCATTTTCTCTCGAAAAGATGATCTTTAAAATGATCGAATTCGATCTTCGAGATCCCGATCAAGCTTCTCCCTCGGGCCAACCGGGGTGTGCGCACAATCGAAACGGGCAATCAACGATGCGTAATTGTATATAATAATAAATATATATATATATGTACGATAGCATGCAAATGGCAACGCCGTGTTCCAGTTGGATCACTCATGAGGTGTCGCTCGCACGATCGATCGCGTTTCAGGTTCAATACAAGGTTGGCCTTACTCTAGGAACACTGAAAGGGAGAGCAGGGAGCACACTCACACCTGACCCCAGTGAAACTCGTCAATTGCCAATTGTATTTTCTTTGCGTTCGTAATTAATACGTGCAATGTATATGTAATCCATTTATTTATTCATGTTTATTACGGTTATTATATGTCGTCTTCTTCTTATCTTTTTTATTATTAATTACGGTTCTGTTCTGACATGGTCATTGGTAACAGTTCGCTACGAAGCTGCCCACTCGAGGCTGGCGAAGAAGCGGTTTATTTAAAAAAAAAAACAAAGGGCGGGTTCGGTGATCGTATTATAAATATACGTAATATATGCGTATGAAAATGAATATATAATTACAATGGAAGCAGCGTATCTTTGTTCGAGCACGAGGCTCTGCTCTTCAACCGCGATAGTCTTAATGATTTTGCCATCCCTTTTCGTAGGGGTCGGGTCGAAACAGGGAGCAAGTAGTACTTCATTCAACATGAAACTCATCTACACACTTTGGTTATAATATATCGTACGATAACGCAACTGCAGGTGGAGAGGGGTTTTTACGTACGTGGTAAAATAGATAATGCACAGAGAGAAAATATTTTAGGGGGCGAAGAAAAAAAAGAAAGAAAGAAAGAAAGAAAGAAAAATAGATCAGATCGTGGAAAATGGATATATAAAATAATAGATAAAATAAAAATGTAAATGTATATCAATGAGGATATTCACACGTATATAATAACAACAATATCGAATAGGAAGTACAAGACCGGTTCAGCCAGGAAATCAGGGGTGAAGGTACGTTCTAAATAAAATGATATAGTGTCACAAAACACTTAAGAAGCCACTACATCACGGACCACCAATATGCATCGATGCAAATAATCCATCCATGTTATTCTCGCATTTTCAATGAGAGATCGCACTGATCGTTTGAAATGTGTTTTCTTATGGAAATGTCAATGTGTGTGTATATGTGTGTATGACTCTACGCACTCTCTGTTCATGGAATCATTGAATTCGTATTTAAACGTATTTAAACAGGGATCGTGCTACTGTCAAGGAATCTTTGGACTTTTATATATATATATATATATATATATATATATATATATATATAAAACAAGGACAATCAAGAAGTAATCGTGTATATATACTAGTTCCAAGATATATGTGTACTCGTGTGTATTTATATGTATGGTGTATCTCCGTATATGATGTTCAGCGTGCGTGCGTGCGTGCTGCATCGCTATATCAATATGTATATATATATATATATATAAATTATACACAATCGTTATTTCCTAATCGAAATGTTAAATGTCAGTGTCAATGTTAATATTGCTGCCTTGCCTTCTGTGGGTAGCGTAGTTTCCCGAGACATGACCCATGCCATCACAGGACGACGTGGGGCACTGTATCAGCTCCTTGCCATCGCGACCACGAGGGGCGGGCCGAGGCGCGAAATTCAACGAGTGCCGCCTCATATTCATACTGCATCGAACAACATCAACACAATAAGACACAAAGCAACGCGATTGCTCGTCTCTCTTATGCCTGCACCTCAACATGTCCCTTCGATCGACAACTCGACAACCACGATCATCGTACGATGGATGGCCGTTTCATTTCAACCCCCTTCGAGCACAACTGGATCTTCCCCCTTTCTCGTATCATCTATGACTCAAACTTTAACTGATTCTAACCGACGTTTTTAATCTCCAAACCTCCTCGCCTCAAACGGCATTACTCCGAACATCCAGGGTACGAGCGTGGCCGAAACGCAATCGTTGCGTCGCGTCGTTACAGAGCGGGATACCCGACCCGAAAACTTTTATTGCGCTCCCCCAACTTTTCCTTCTCGGCGAGGCGAGAGGAAGGGAGGTATACGGGCGTGATAGCGACATATGAGAGAGAGAGGAGAAAAAAAAAATATCCCGGCAAAAGTTCGGCACCGGTCGGTGGAGAAAATAGGAGGAAAGAGGCGCGGGAGGAGCTAGGAGGAGCAGGAGGCGGAAGGAATATACGCGGATCAGAGCCACGAGAGAGCGTGCTTTGCTTCTGCCTTTTTTCTCTCGTCTCCTCGTAGTCTCGTAGATGAACGAACTACCGCCGGGCTATGAGAAGCCTCGAAAACCTCGATGGCCCTTGAGTAGCCGCGATATTGCCGGCCAACCGAGCCGACGGATGCGGACTTGAGTGCAATTCAACGGTACGCCCCTCCACAGGATGCTCTGCCTTCCCTGGAATTTTTCCACCCTCCCCCTTCGTCTAACAGCCAGATTCTCTGTCTTTGTACGGACAATAAGTCGAGTTGTTTTATTCGCTTATTTCTTCGTCTCGTGTTACGAGTGCATCGAATCGTGAACAGGGAATATATGAACGTTGATTTTATGAACGTTTATTTTTTTGGAAAGAGGAATGAGATAATACCGATCCTCAAAGTATATCTTGTAACGAATGTGTATTGAAATACACTTCTTTATTATTATTGGTTTAATAGATTTTTGAACAGAATGACGGAAATTCGATTATTAAAATGAAAAATTTAATACCAAGTTCTTGCTCCTTGCAAACTTAATTATACGGATAGAACTTTAATTCAGATTCGAAAGTTGATTACTAGATTATCGATTTTCACGTGATAAATGATCTTTTTAAACCAAATTAAAAATTTGATTAAGATACCCCTATATAACAATTGCCAATTAATGTTCCATCGAAATTCGATTAAAATTATTACATCCAGTCATTTCAACAATTTAACGATCAATTCTCCAACTCTCCAACGCCAATCAACCAACTGGCACGATATATCAAGAATTGGTGCTTGACACCACCCCTAGCGTCAACATTCTCCAAGAATCTCTGCAACGTTGTCGAACGGACGCGCGGAATTCCGGGGGAGAGGGGAGTAGTTAGGTGGAAGGGGGGAGAGGAGGAGGATGGTAGATTAGAAAAGAGAGGAAACCAGTTTTGCCCGAGGTATCCGAGGTGCATTTCAAGGGTCTAACCTCGATGGGTCTCGCCCCATAATCCAGTGCGGTGGCAACTGATTATACCCCACCTACCCTTCCGACCTTATTCCACCCTTGGCAGCCCACCCCCTCTCCATCACTCCACCCCCTCTCATCCCACCTCCTCTCCTCCTTATGCGCCGAACCGCGCCTCCTCCTCCTCCCCTCCCCCCCTCCGCCGAGCTTTACGTCAATTAGAATAAGGTTGGCACTTTCGGTACGAAGAGTAATTACTTTAATTAACAAAATGGAGGTAGGTAGGTAGGTAGGTAGGTAGGTAGGTAGGTATGCGGGACCTCCGCCTCCCTCCTCGCCGATTTTAACTCCCTTCGCCGCCTTTTCGACCGCGAATAGTGCGCGTACACACAGCTACCAGAGATATTCGCGCGACCCTTTCCGCAAGGCAAGTACCATATCCGCGCATACGCGATTATTAGACGCGGGTGGACGTTTCGTCCGGCTCATTGAACAACCTGGGATAGAATGGAACGTTCGTGAATCGCGTTTCATAGCGTGGAATCGTGATCTTATTCTATTTTGCTTGCTGGAGTGGATCAGGGGTACGCATACGCATGGTGATGGTGTTTCGTTCGCTCTTGATCCGTTTCGATAAATTTGATTATTTAAGAATATAGTCACTCGTAAGAAATATTGATCTTCGTCAAATTTTAATCGAGCTGTTATGATTCGATTGATATTCGGGATACTTTTTTCTTAGAAAAAAAAAAAAAAAAAAAAAAAAAAAAAAAGAAAGAAAGGAGGAAATATCGATTATGATGATTGTTAATTATTTATGTGTACCCCTAGCAAGTTTTACGCGACAAAATAATTTAAAAGAAAAGGAATGTTACGCGTATCAATTTCACGGAAATCATAGAGAAACTTCAATTATTTTTTAATTATCAGAAATAATTTCAGAAGTGAACGATCCCATTCTTTAAACTTCTTTGAAGTATCGAGTTCCTGATGAACCGGAAACGTCACATTATATTTACATTACGACTGCGGAATCATATTGGATAAAAGGAAGATAGATGATCGAATTCCTTACCTATCGTCTTTACCCGTAGGTTTATCGAGAGGTCCGACTGTGTGTTGAGGGGGTGGCATGCTATAGCAGGGTGTCGGCGTATAGCCAGCTGGGATTTGGTAACCGGAAGTCACGGGACCTCCGGGATAAGTTCCACCGCAATTGTAGCCTGCAGTGGGGTAAGGAGTGTACGTGTTCCCAGGATATTCCGGTTGAACGCCTGTCATTCCGTATCCTGGGTGTGGGCTCATTGGTCCGTAACCTGTTCGAGAACGAGAAATATTTACATTTATTGAATTCAAAAGATAAATATCAATTATTGTTAATTGTAAATTTTTTTCCACAGAAATTTTACAAATTCGAAAAAATTATCCCCGCCTAGAGTTGTTTAATAACGAAAGTTTCGAATATTGGAACAGGAAATTGTACTTTAAACGAAGTTGATGTTTAAATTTTTTATTCACACATTTAAATTTTCCATTCCCGCTTTTCGAGTCTCTGCGTGCACTCTGAAACTTTGAAATATTTGATCGAATCCGTGCTATACTTGTCAAACTTTCAGTTCAAATATGTTATATAACGCATGCATACGTATATACATATATATATATATATATATATATATATATATATTAAATCGGTTCGGCGGATATGTAGAACAAAGAAACACGAGTACGATAAAAACTGGAGCACCGGCGAGTGCACACCTATATGCACCGCGTTTCGCGAGCGCGGTGTATGGGGCGTAGTAGTTTCAATTTTATGAAAATCCACCGTAATCTCCTCGCGAGGCAACGAGATGCAATAACGAAGTAAATAAAGAAGCCTCTCTTCCATTCCGCGCGGAACAAAAGTATCACGAGTATCCAGAGATAGAATAATAAAAAAAGAAGAGAGTGGGAGGGGGGAAAGGCAGAGGGGGATGGAACAAGTGAAAAAAAAAAAAAAAAAAAAAAAAAGAAGAACAAGGAGCAATCGAAAGCGGAGGACAAAGGTTTCAGAGGCGCAAAGGTCGAAACCGACGCGTCGCTTGATTAACCGTTGTAAAATCTACGCGTTTATTTACCGGCAAGAATTCATTTCGTCTGCAGTGCAAATAGCCGACGGACGAGGAGCGCCGGTTGTACGGGTGACGTCGACGTCGCTTGAACACGACGACGCCGAAACGAACGAATGAACCCGACATGCCGGCTGTGTGCTCGAGTGTTTCAATTTCAATAACTACTCCCCAGCGTCAGAGTCCGCACAATATTGGCCGCGCCGGACTTTTGCCGGCTACGTGTACGCGAAATATTGATAATTAACAATGGTCGTGTACCGCCACAGGGAGGTGGGTCCGGTGGGAAGGGTGCCCGGTTTGGTGCACATCCACGCTGCGAAAGAGGATGAGAGGGGCCGAGGAAAAGGGGGCGGGGGTGTGTGTGACGGGTGCGAGAGCGGGAGGAACGACGACATGGACGGTGGAGAATAGGCTGCCCTGTAGGTTTGGAATGCCAAGGCACAGAGAGACTGCAGGAAAATGAGAGTCGAGGCCATAGGTGCCTATTATGGCAGTCATGTACTGTTCCGCCGAATTTTTATTCGACGGTTGTAACCGCGTATCGCTCTCTCGTTCCGTACCTCTCCCGTACCGAACCCCGAGGGCGTCCAGCTCTTTGTTCTTTTCCGTATCCCTCCCGCTCGTGGATGTCCTCTTCGTTGCGATCTCCCCCTCGATATCGCCTCGCCCGTTACACGATACAGGGACAAGCTGATTTCGTATATTTCAAGTATACATATCGAAAATTAGAACGTCCGAGGATACGAGTCGTCGTTCGCGCTTGTTTTTGTCTCCGCGTCTCTTGTTACGCGAGTTGATGCGCGATGATCAAATGAACGGATTTTGAGTCTAATTGGATTTTCCCTTCGTTCGGATGAAATTTTTATACACGGTGGGGAATGGAAAAGGAGTTTTCAAGTATCGTTAATTTCTTACGATTATTCGAATTCGTAATGAAAAGTAACAAATAACGAATAATCAATAAAAAAAAAAAAAAGGAAAATATGATCGTCCAACTTTTAAGAATCATCAGTAGAAACTGTCAGAATGATAGATGATAACGATGGAGATTTAGAGCAAAGTAGAATCGAGGGTCGCAAAGTATTTTCTCCGTGATCGATGATGAACTATCTTGCTAAGTTATGATAAACAATGATAGCTCACCAGTGGGATCTCGGTAAGCGTCCATATAGTGGGAACCCCCACTGTCGGGGGTGCTTTCTCGGCTGTATGCCGTGACGTGCACACCGGGTGGCGGGAATCCTGGCACAGGCCTGATTCCAGGCCCCCCGCTGAAATTGACCGGCTCGTTCGCCGTCGAGAAGTCAACGGGCTCGGTTTGCTCCTCGATTGGTCTGGGTGCTGGAAAACCAGGTCCAACTGGAACCGCCACAGCTTCTCCGTGGCCGGTTGGATATTGCGGACTTGGCGCGCCGCTGTAATCAGATGAAGATGATGTACAGTTTAATATTTCCCCCTTTTCGTTTTATCCTCGTTGGGAAATGGAAAAACATTTTGTCGGATTAAAACGTTTCTAATCTTGCCCCCTTTGTTTCCAAATGAAAGATTGCGTTTGATTCGCAGACCTTGATTAAAACGAATATTTTCTGGACACAAATTAAACGATAATTACCTATGAAGCCTGTTGACGCTAAGATCGAGGGTTTGTCCCGGACTGGGCACCTGAGGACTCGCAGTTAAATGCGGACTTGCTGCAGCTTGGGGACTGCCACCGACTGTTTGGCCCCCGCCATATTGAGGACTGAGACTATTGGAACCATATGGTGGCGCCTGTAATGATTATCATCACGTTTCATTGAAAATTCGTTAAACTGTAATTAATAATTTACTTAGTTCTATGAACTGGACAGACCTGTGGGCTCGTCGATGTGACACTGGATGTCGACAAGTCCATCACTGATCCGCCTGGGGAGGTCGGAGGACCACCGGGTTTCTGTATTTGCTGGACTTGCGCTACCGTGACGCATTTCACTGCGATGTAATAAGAACGAGCACCGTTTCAATGAAAATCCTGACCATACCCTTTATTTAAATATCTGCTATAAAACACTAACACTCACCGTCCTCGGTCTTCATCATCCCAGCAGCAGTAGCAGCGGCCATCGCCATCTGATGTTGCTGCGCGGCAGCCGCAGCCTCCTGATGGTACACTCGTTCCTGTTCCTCCGGCGTCATCCCGGTCTGCCCCAAGTAATACATGTTCGTCCTCGAATGTAGCTGCTGCTGTTGTTGTTGCTGCTGCTGCTGCTGTTGCTGTTGCTGCTGCTGCTGCGACTGGATCGGTGCACAATTTTGGGTGTCGTATCTCTCGTAGGCGGACGTGGTGCCAGGATCGTACGGCCGATGATTGGCAGCGTTTGCTACCGCGTTCTCGTAACCTCTCGCGTTCGCGATCTCGTTGGAGTAAGTGACGACAGGGCGTGCGATGTTGCTCGCTCCAGGATGCATATAGGCCCTCGCGTGTTCAGCCGTTCTGTGATGATAAAGTTCCTCGCTGGTGGTGGCCGCAGCAGCAGCCGCGGCCGCTGCGGCCATCATGGCGGACGATTCGTAAGGCGATCTCTGCGACATCTGGTGACCCATCCTCGTATCCTCGACCATCGGTATGGGATAAGCGACCGTGGGCTGCATGGGGAGGACGTGGTGCGTTGGATGTTGGCTGGGATGATGTATCGTCGCGCCGATGGATCCTCTGGACCCCATCGCGTCCATCGAGGACATCGACGAGGAATTCGAGTCCTGATTCATGTACGAGTCGTAGGTTGGTCGTACCGTGGGCGGGGGAGGTGGTGGCGGCGAGTTCACTCGACAGGAGGCTGTGTCTTCCGTTTTTGGTACCAGCAAGTCGGAAGTGTTTTGCCCCCTGGATGGTAGGGTGTTGCAGCAACTGCCGCTAGGTGTCATGTTCTCGGTTTTGGGGACTACTTTGGCCGTACGGGACGAGGGATTCTCTTCTGGAGTTTTCGGTGGTTTCACGTTGATCCCGCTGCCCTTCGTTGTCGAGTAGTAGTCATAGGTCAGACTGCTCAGCACCGGCTTGGTGTCCTGCGCCGTGGACCCGTATTGAGAATAGCTCTTGCTATCCATCGACGGTGGCAACAGGTTCGTACTGATGTATTCGGGTGGAATTCCGGACACTGCCCCGAGAAACCATATTTTTTTATGTACTTTATGATTATAAAGGTTTGAATAAGATGAATAAAGATTAAAAATTACATGGTTCTATAAGTAACAAAGGTAATTGTAATACTTTAGAATATATCACCACATTATTTGAAATGTTAAAAAGTTATAAGAAAATTAGATGAGATATAAGTGGTAAAATAAAAAGAGAAAAGATATCTTTAATATCAATTTCTTCGAAAATAATCTTAAAATTTGTTCCAGCATATCATCTAACATTTCGAGAAAACTATTTCCAAATGTTCAACTACTACAACGAAGAAGCATAGAAGTCTCCCACGCTCACGCGAGAACTATCGAGAAACGTTTCGAGGATTATTTTCGCGACGGCCGAGAAGCTTAAGCCCCCCGATCCGATTTCACGAGATGGCTCGACCCGTGGATTTTCGCGTGGAGCGAATTCCAGGCACGTTTGAGGGTCGCCTTACCTTGAGCCTTGTGTCGTGCCTCGCGTGCGGCCTGCTTATTGGCCGCGGCAATGGGACATCCGGACAGGCTTCTGTGCGTGTTCCGATTCGAGCTGACATGGCCACGGCCGTTGCAACCAGGTGTCGGGCATTTCAAAATAGTCTCATGCATCGCCAGAACTGCAGAGAACCCAGAGACACGTGGCGTGGTTATGGAACTCTTTATATTTCTAATTTTTTTTTATTTTTATTATTTTTTTTCTCTTTCTCTTCTTCTAAAATTTCCATTTTATCTCCTTATTATTATCTCCTTTCTAATTGGACCACCACACGTACGTATACACGCGCACACCGAGATAACGAATCGAGCTGCATATCACAGCTCGGTCCATTCTTATGCGTTGAGTATAATCGTCGGCAACAAATTTCATTTTGACGCGTTTCGATCGCGTTTGATTCCAAATCGATCGATTAATCAAAGCGATATCGAAATATATATATATCGGAATAAATATATCGGAGAGATGTAGTGTAGTATACAGAGAAAAATAGAGGAGAGAACAGAAAGTAAAAGGAAGAGAAACGAAAATCAAAGAGACAGTTGTTGAGGGGGGTACACAACGTAACCGGGGAATAAAATATATATAAATCAAATGTGTAATAGTACAATCAAGTATACCGAGCGGGTAGAGAGAAACTCAAGTAAAGACAAGTAAAGATAATCGAGTGACAAAATTATACAACAACAAATTACGATTTCTTGTGTATCTCGATAGGATTATATTGTTTGTGTTTTGTGTCAGGGATGTATCTCGTGTGGCAAACATCTTGCAACATGATGCAATTAAGAAAATCTAATTTATTAATATCAAACATTTTGTAATAATCTAGTTGTGAAAACAATTATATTCGAGTGTTTAAAAATTCATCTTCTCAGAATATTGCAGGAAAAAAATTTGAAAGACAAAAATTTAAATTCGGATTTTAAGCGAAGTATAATTATAAAAATCATTGGAGATCAATGACTTTTCATCGTGTTTTGCTCTATAGAACAAAGCAGTATCTCTTCTTGTAATATTTCACAGGACAGGTCGATAGACATGGTTTGTCTGGGTGAAGGGAACCGTGTCACAAGAGTGTGTGATCGCCCCTACAATTATACTCAATCGCACAAGATCTTCTGTTCGGATCCGGCGTGCGCGCACACGCATATCCGGCATAGCCGTCGCGCTCCCCGTGTCTCGAGTTCTCCAGATGTTCGTAGGTAGATGTTCGTAGGCCAACAATAACCAATAAATTCAAGTGTGGTGATAATTCTCTACTATAATTATAATACTACAAACATAACGGTTAAATTAAAAACTGAAGTGAAACGCAATAAATAAAGCTCTCTACCCCGCAAAAGAAAAGCGCAAAGAATATAAAAAACAGACAGACACATAGACACACATAGACGGGGCACGGTTGGAAAAAACCGGCCTGTACTCTTTCGTTCGAAGTATATACGAAGTGGAAGTTTAAAGTTTCGTTCTTCTTCTTATTCTATCGATATTCTTTTCTTTTTTTTTTTTCACGTCAATATTTATTAATCGAATCTCGAGAAGATTGCGTTCGAAGTGTCAACATTGTGTCGAGAATTTGTGTAGAAAAAAATTTCTTTTGTTTTCATTCTTCGCGAAAACAGACGTCGAGTCGCGTGAAATCTCGATTCAAACGCGTGATACGATCGCGTATGCGTATTAATGATTGTGTGTGTGCCGATTTAAAAATGAAAAGTGCCACCGTTCGAAAATAAGTGTTCACCCTCGTTCACTCGCCACACCCTCGTCGCGTGAAAAAGGCAGTCTCGCAAAAAGAAGATGCATCTATGTAACTACTGATAAGAAGTAAGAATAATTGCTCCGGCTACTTACTTTCTGGCGTTAATTTATCCTTTCGTGGACAACCGGATAGGCTGAAATCACAGTAGGAAGTTATGAAGCATGGTACGTACATTTTCCACGTGGGAAATATAAAGATTTGAGAGATATAGCTGGGATATAACCGTGGTCTTTCAACATTGAAGCTTACAGTCGTTGCCAAAAGTTTGTCGAGCCAAGTTGTAATTTTATTTCGGCTTAAGTTATGCGTTAATCAAATTCTTCTCCGTTTCTTAAAATTCAAATAACATTGCATTCTGTATACGGGCAAGCCGTATAATTTTCGTAACGCAGGAAACAGTGATATAGAAAGTTTGATATGGATCACTTCATTAAATTGATTTGTAACTATCATTCTTCCATTACATTTTCGTATCTTCTCTTGATCTTATATTAATAACGTACAATGATAATTTGGAAAACTTTGGATAACCGTATTCTTTGGAATTTTGTCAAAGATACAAAATTTTATTCAAATCTTTTTCCGAACGTGAAATTTGTAAAGTTATTCTTCCACTTCTTCTGTGAATTAGTCTTCTGTTACAAAAGTGATTATATCTCCTATTGCATATTCAATCGGATATGTCGAATAGGTTCGCTATTTCGTCCGGTCTTCCTGTCGTGGCGCGTAGGTTTCTAATCGACCAGGGCTAAAGTGCAGAGCACAGGTTAATTACCGATAATTGCTTACCTGCGGTGGTGAGAGTAGAGTCCGGTCACGTGACCCTGCCCCGTGCAGCCTGGGGTCGGGCACTTGTTGCCCTCTGTAACAAATCAAACCACGGTGGATGGTCAGATTTCGTATGATTCATCATCATTACGTGGCAAGTAAATTATTAATATATATATATATATTCGATTATTACAAAGAATTGTTACAAGTATCGTAGCAAAAAAAGTGTTGGAAAAATATTGAAATAAAGATTAGACGAAATAATAAAATCAAAGTATCACACCAGTAATTTTATTCTATCAATTTCTGACTGAGAATTCGTATTCATAATTCTAAATATGTAGCTATAACATAACAAGGAAAATATGTTGGATATAGTAACTTTCAAACTAGAATTAATGATCTGAGCGCGTAAACGAGAAGATGAAGATTAAAATGATTAATCTAGGAAATAGGGGAAATATGATCCTTGAACAGCGATTACGAAATTTCCCTTCGTTCAACAGATTATCCTTATTTATTCGTGAAAATATTTCGAGAATTTCTCTTTCCATTTCCCTTTTTTCTTTTTTCTCAAAATTGCCCCCCTCGCTCCCATCGATACACGAGCAATATTTCCTTTATACATTTATCACCGTGCGTATCACGGCTGCGGATCGTTACACACAGCCAGCCACCAGAATAAGCAAAATATCGATTCATTCCAGTTATCCAGATCTAAAAAACCGGTGTCGATTGTCCCGGCATAATTGGTGATGCGAGCTGTCAACGATAGACGAAGCGGAGCGTCGATTCTCCCGTCCATTTCGAATCGATCGCATTGTGCTCTTTAATTAATATCGATTACACGGCCGCAATTGTAATTGTAATATCGAGCAAACTTTGTCGGTATCGGCTCCATCGTTCCCATCCTCAATTTAATGACCGTTTGATTGCGGATAAATTACGTATCCACATCGCGTTGCCACCAACGTTTGTCCCCAGCACGATCGAAGCTCGTGACAGCTCGTGAGATCCCGAAGCCGGTAAAAGCCGGGTAAAGTATTGTTGCGGCACGTTTTTGTAACGCGTGGACACGCGTTCGACTCAACGTTCGGACGTTCACTTTCGCTTCGGCAATCGAACGTACCTCGAGAATCAATATTTTAACCGGGAAACACCGGTGTGTTGACAGGGCGCAGTCTTTTTGCAGAGGGGAAAATGAAACGGTCTCCCTTGACACCCGGGTTTCCAGATAATTCTTATTGTCCGGATGGATGTGAATGCGTTTTATTCCCTGTCCGCTCACAATGTGAGTGTTTCGTTTCAATTTCGTTATCTTACGTTAGAATTTTCTAATAAACTAAACTGTATTCGTGATAATGTCCCTAAAAATACACATTTATCGTTATTAAATTAAATATTTTAAATTCCAATTACTATTCTATATATATATAAATCGCAATGAATATAGAAATTATCTGATGAAGCAATTTTTCTACGATTTTAGAATTATTTACAAGTTACGAGCCTATTTTAAAACATGGGATTGGTTAAATGGTGGAATTCTTCTAGTAAATCTATCGAGAAGGGAACGAAATGGTGGATAGTAAGAAACTTGACAGCCGATTCTTTCGTAATGTTGTACGATCGTATTCAATGAAAATTAACCATGGAATAGATGACAACTGCTATGTCGGACATCGCGGTGTACTTTCACAACCGGCACACACTATGGAGAATGCGTTTTACTTACAGTTTGCCAATATTCATATATACATTATATTCTTTACTCGGAGCATTGAACTTAGAGGCGGTAAATAAACCGACCATTTATTGCTCGATCGTGTTTTAAACTTCTGCGATGCCTTCTAAATTTAGAAACGTAGATCTTTTTCAACGTATACGAATAATATACCAGAAATAATAGCAATACTGGAATATAGTTAAATAAATGAAAATTATTCTTGAAAAAAGTTAATATAACCGTTGCGTCTGCTCGAAGCATTAGGCAATAGTTTTCAATATTCTCTGATAATTAATAACGGAAAGATGACACTTTAAAATTTCAACGGGAAAGTTTAAATGAAAATGGATAGATAGACCAACTGTGATACCTTGGATCTTGTTCCGCAAGCTACGCATTTGCGAATAACCACCGGGATTTCTCTGTCCCGCATCTAAGCCTTGGGGATTAACACAGCATATACCTAAACTTGTCCACGAAAACAGGCGGGCTAACGTTATCGTTGTTCATCGCAGAATGGAAGCGTCAATCTTCCACGTAACTACTTTGCACGGCAACTCTATTACACCATACACGAAATATCACATGGTTAGAAGAAGATATCGTTTAAGAAGAAAATAATTCTAAAAAAAAAAAAAGAAAAAGAAAAAAATTATCTACGTGCTTCGAATGAATTAACCCATAATTATCTCAAACGATCCAAAAGATAATCAAATATGACGTAACATTTAAAACGTAACATTAAATTTATGATATAGCCATACTTCGGATATTTTATTTAAAGGATACACTCGAGCTTACAATCAATACACTGCAATACAATCTTAACCCTTTTGCAAAATTAATTTATCATCAAACAACCCATTATTGTCCGGCAATCATCGATAGAACTTGAATGTTAAGAAACTTTCAGAAATTTCTTCTTCTTCTTTTTTTTTTTTTTTTTTCCCTCCCTTCCATTCCTCCCTTCTCGCTATTCTTGCACCCTGTCACGAAATTGCATCGGGGGCATGCTCAAGCAACCTGTACCATCTGTCGTGTACTGGCTGCAACTTAATGGCTGGTATGGTGCACGTCACGTATAATCGTGTTCGTGTTCTCAGGGTGACCTCGCGTGACCAGACAATTACAGGTTTCCAGTACGCTGTATGCGGCCCAGAAGTACCAATCGTTTAGGATGAGACCGTCTATTCTCAGGCCCTTCCATCGCGAATGTTGATTTTAACAACATTCTCCGAATAATTTTTTTTTCTTTTTTTTTTTTTTTTTTTTTTTTTTTACGACGTTCTAAGATGAGATTAGCTCACGCTTCGGTTACAGTTGATTAGCACCACCAGTATATAAAACTGTAATTTTATAATAATCAGATACGAAGATACGCGTAATTTTCTTTCTGACCGTTGGTTTTCCTTCTAGTTAATACTCGTTTCACGATCTTTTTGATTTTGCTGAGAGTTTACTGATTGCAATTTTGCGATGTATAAACCGGAGAGAGATTGTGTCTCTTGCGATTGACGAAGTTTTGCGCGATCAGATAATTGATTAGTCCAATGTACACTGCAAGAAATTGTTAAATTGCTAAAATAATATAATAAATCGATATAAGAGATCAATATAAAGTTATTTGAAAGTTTCAACAGTTTATTTATTCTGGATAGTTATACGAGTTGTAAGTTATATTTGAAGATATACCAAAGTGGAAGGTTAGATCTAAATAGAGAGAAGAAATCTAAGAAACGATGGATTTCAAGAGGTTGCATTGATAATATACAACAACAACTTTCACTTTCAATTCTTAACCCGAATATCATTGATCAACACCAATACGAACTTTTCTTCATCGAATATCACGAGTCATAATAATCCATTTCGCACGATTTTATCAGGACTTTTATCTCGCGACTTTATATTAACTCGTTCCATCCCTTCTCGAGCTAAGACCAATTCGACGTATTCTCAACCCGAAAAAGTCTCGATTCAGACATGCCATAGGTTGGTCACGTGTGTTGGAGGGGTTCGAAAAGGGATTCGAAAGGAAGGAGTCTTAAGGGGAGGCCGGGTTCAGGTTAGTTGCGGGTGTTTCCCGTGGAATGAGCGCACTTTTATAAACTTTGTCGTGTACTAATCCTCCACCGGCTCGGATCACCCCAACCAACTACGCCCGACCCACGAAGCAGCCGCCATGATGCCGAGAAACTTCATCAAGGCCGTCATTCCGCGTTCTAGAAAGAGAGGGATCTGCTCGATCCCTGCTTAGACCGGTTTGGTCCACCTTCCTGGTAAATTGGATCACGATACGTGATGTCATTAGTGATATACTTTATTCGTCGTGGGAGGGCACGGGGTGAGGCATGGCGTCGAAAGATTTCGTGCCATCGGTAGATATTAATGAAAAAGGGAAAAGATGTATAAATCTGTTTTGAATGGATGTGCCTTTTTTTTTGCTTTTCATGAACGAAACAATAGTTTCGTGGAAACGAAAAGTGTCTGACACGAATGTGATTTCTTTTGTACTAGGAAGGAACATTTGATTGTTTTATGCAAAATAAGGAGATTAATATTTTTAAAAATAATAATATATATTATTATGTATTTTTTTTATTTTAAATGGATTGATAAAATAAAGTTTTTAATATAAACAAATTAACGTGAGAAACATTAACAAGATTCTCTTTTCTTTTACAGAAAGAAAGAAAAAAGAATTAATATCTACGGAACGCGATTTCCATTAACGATCTTCCGAGTTTTCAACAAGTAGTATTAGCAACTCAGACTCAGACAGAGCACGTATCATCGATCTCTTAACTAAACCCATTCGCTGCTATTTTCATTTTTCCCATCGCATCCATTCTTCTCTAAACTAAATCTAAATTACCAACCAACATATATCCATTTTATATAGATACATTTTAAACAAAAATCGTTTCGATAATGAAGAAACACGCGTCTCTAATAAAGAAATAACGGATATTCGCTTATACTTTGGATGGAACGTCGAACGGTATCCCGGTTGCTTTTTAATTAGCGGCGGGCTGAAAAACGGCTGAGGGTGGCGGTTGGCCGCCGGCGGGATTAATAAATTAGCCGTAAGGTTTTAAAGCGGCCGGCCGATACCTAAGCTCGACTGGGGATAGAAGGAGGAGGGGAGGGGAGGAGGCGAGAAAAAAAACAGATAGAAAAACCTGGTGGAAGGGAAAAGAAAAGGGCGGAGGAAGGGGCGGATAATGGTTCCGGTCAACAAAATGAATACCGGCACGCGCTGTTCTTTCCGGATCTCTGAATAGACTTGTAACGAGTCGGTCAGCCAGCCAGTCCTCTCTTCTTCTTCCTTCTTCTTTTTTTTTTCCCCCTCTTTCCCCGCCATGGGATCCCGTGGCCCGAATGGCGAGAGAGGGTCAGAGAGAGAGAGAGAGAGAGAGAGAGAGAGAGAGAGAGAGAAAGAGAGAAAAAGAGAGAGAGAGAGAAGGAGGGTAGAAGAGCGGGGTCCAAGGGGTGAGAACGAGGATGAGTAGCGCGGGCACTAGTCGAGGGTGAGGCCGTGGCCGAGTGTGTAATTGTGTTATTTTGTTGCCATTTCACGTGAGGGTCACCGCGGGAGGTCCAGAGGTGTACATAAACACCAGGATTGTTTTATTCATTTCGGCCCGTTGCACGACGCGTGCCGAATTCTTTCCTTTTTTTTCCCTCTGTCTCTCTCTCTTTCTCTTCTGTCCTCGTTTCTCTTCACCCCTTACGTATCGCTCGCCCTCTTTTTCCTTTCCGCGATCGCGCACGCATCGTGCTCGAATCGGAGATATTATCGACGATTGAAATTGCGGTTAAACGCGCGAACCACGTCTATCTAATCGATGGACAGATTTAAATGTCCACGCAACGTGGGGACGAATAAATAGTCGGGGATTTATTTTAATCGAATCGATACGAAGCACGGGGATCCCCTTATCGGATTCTTTTGATCGTCGCGGGAAAGAAAAATATCTTTACACCTGTTAACCCTTGTGGGAACAAGATGGGAAAAAACGAGAATGCAGAATTCTAATAATGTGTTTTATCTAAGCGCCGTTAGAAGGAGGAATGTAAGAACGTGACGATCGATTCTCGATCGGCCACGGAGATGGGATCTTGAAGAGGTCGATAAGTAGAAGACGAAAGATTCTAAAAAAAGAGAACAGCCCAGGGAACAATCACGGGGCACGTATTTACACACTGGCGGCGCTTGTAGCCGTAACGCGAGGGTAGAGCCCCTGCCTCGCGCGAGTAAAGGTCCTTTTTATGCGTGCGGTCGCAAAGGCAGCGTAAAATTGAGTTACAGGGCAGTTTATTTTTTTATTAGCCAGGCCAACCCTGCCTGCCGCGCGGTTTCAACGCGGAAAGGGTGGTTTTTGCGGCCGACGGATTTCCCGATAGCGGTTTTATGGCGTGTCAACACGCTCTTACGCTCGTGTAACGCGCGCGTGTATGCCTGTGTTGAGTGAAAAAAAAAAAAAAAAAAGAAAAAAAGAGAAAATATTTTAAAAAACGGAGCGGAGAGAAAGAAAAAGAAAGAGAGAGAGAGAGAGAAAGAGAGAGACGGAGTATAAAGTAAAAAAGAAGAGAAGAAAAGAGGAAGTAGCACGACGTGCACGCGATCCTGTCGCTAAATCGAAAGGTACGGGAACGAGCGGCGCGAATGGCACGGGCGAACGAGGCTGCGATTAAAACTATAGGTCTGTGGAGTCCGGCAGGCAAGCCTGTACCGCCGTCACGCTTGTAAGTATGCGATTAATCGTGCCCACTTATCACGGCTCTACGTTTATTCACCGAGATTTCCGTCGTGCTACTCGCTTTATCTGCGACCACGAATCTTTTAATGATCGATCGTTGTGAAATATTGACAAGTAAATTCTTGGGAATAAACGTTGAGAATTGGTTTTAATAGTTTATTTATATATATATATATATCTGGTTTGAAGATTACAAGTTTCATATTCTATTAACTTTATTTCTAAAATTTTTTCGTTCTCGAAGAAGATGTAGGTCAACGCATACGCGTGACATGTGACAAGGAAGATTGAATTTTTGAACTGTTCATCTTCGCAGCTTCAGTCGGAGAAAACGTTAAGGGGATAATGAGGACAGGCAGCAGAGCCGCATGGTGGTAATAAGGTACCGTGATGTGGCTGGGATGCTAGTCACGTTTCTAGCTGCTGACAGCTGCGGCTTATACGTATGACGTGGTATCAACCCCAAATTTCCCCGTCTAGGCACATCGTGTCGTCGCTGCCCTAAGACCCTGGAATGCACTCGAACTTCCACCTGTCACGACCGTGGAATGTCTCCCTATTGGCGTAACGGGTAAATTTTCTTTGATTTCTTTCTTCCTTTTTTCTTTTTTTTTCTTTTTGATTCTTATTCATCTCGCGACTCCTCATCTCGTTTCGATCGATCGATTAAACGTTTCAATTTAGACAAGTGGGTCAGGTTCGTATTTATCGAATTATATTTAATTCAAAATATTGTTAATAGTGGAAATTACTAATTTAGGATACAATTAATTGCGATGTAATTAAATTCAATCACTTCGTGATTATTTGTACACATTAGTGGAAATTATTAATTTAGGACACCATTAATTTGTGACACAATTAAAATAATCACTTAGTATTCGTATAATAAATAATATATCTAATTTAAACACTAATAAAAAGATCGTAAAAGATTATTCTAAAAAAATTTATTTTAACGGTGAGTAAGTTTGTTCGAAAAATCACATAGCCAAGATATCAATATACTTCAGAAATTTAAAGTACGTAAAGAAACAGTTTTGAAAAAGTTAGTTGGAAAAGGAAAAAGAAAGAGTGAAGTAATTTAGAAAAGATAGGGAGAAGCACATGGCGACGTAAACTCTGGCTTATATCACAGAGCTCTGAAGGGCACGTGCTCGAATGCGTCTAATAGGTGCAAGTTTCCCCGCGTGCTGCTAGTCTTTACGATCATCGCGACGTTCCCGTGATCAAGCGAATAGTTTCGAAGCTGCGCCAAAGACGAAGACAAAGTGGCTGTAGCGGAGGATACGGAGAATAACTTTACTTTGAGAGACCTTGATTTCACCATTTGAGTCATCGCCCCTCGCTTCGTAATTATTGATTTTCCGTGCTACCCTAACTCCCCTAACTTCATAGAGAAAGCAAGAGAGAGGGAGAGTGTGACGGAGAAAGGCCGAGGAGAAGAGGTACTGTATACGCGGGAGATGTCGAAAATGCCTTTTGTATCCTTCTCTCGAGTAGAGGATAACGCATGGATTCTGAACCCTGACTGATCGCCTGAAACATTAATCTCATCAATGATTTCGCGAGTTTCTTCATGCCCCGATGTCTGTCTTCGCTCGTAAACGAAATCGTCACGGTCGGGAGAAAGCGATTTTGGGGGCACGTTGCTCGTGTCCCATTTGCAGTCGTTAAAGTCTCGACGAAGCACGCGAGACGAATATTATCGAGGTATTTTCGTACTATTCTACACAGGTCGAATGAAAAAAAAGGGATTCCTCGAAAAGGATAAGACACGAGATCCTCGTAAATTTTTCCAAAACGTGGAAGATACTCGTGACGCAAAATGATTTTACTTTGAAACTCTCACCTCTGCTGAGACTGGACGGAGACATGGACATTCCCGGTCTGCTGCCATCGAAGGTAACAGGTCTTTCGGGCATTTTCATCACGGTCTCTTGCTGACCAGCCCCGGACGACGCCTCGACACCTGTCGTGGAACTAGACGTGGTCGTGCTGGTCGAGACTGCGGTGATCGAGATACTGTTCGTCACATTGTTCCCGTTATTCCCGTTGCTGACCGAATTCGTCACGTTGCTCGCGTTACCACTACTTCCGTTGCTGTTGCTCGTAGTCTTGCTGGCCACGTTGTTGACACAGCTGTTACTGTTACTATTGATACCACCGTTCGCTGTGCTACCGTTGCTGGTGCTACAACTGCTGACAGCCGTCACACTGACCACTCCCTCCCTGGCTATGTCCTGAATTGCACTGGCCGCTCTCGACCCGATACCAGCCGGCTGAAGAATCGTGTACTGTTTCGAGGAATCGGGGCTGGTAACCGCTGGCAGGCCACCGGTTGGGCTTTTGTTGCCCGTCACCGAGTTCTGCGTCACCTCGTGCCTCGTCACGTGATGGACTTCCTCCTTGGACGATTTCAATTGCAACAACGAGACCGAGGAGGAATGCTTGTCTTCGGAGGTGGGCGAGATCCCTGTAACAGGTTGGGGTGTCGGCATCGTTGGCCCCGGCCCGGCAGTGGGGTAACCGACGAACGTAGCGGAAGCTGGATACGGGCCGATAGGTGGAATCGCCGTCGAGGCAACTGAGCCCACTGACGGTGTTCCGCGGCCAGTCGCTTTCGCGTGGTCACTGTTGGGTGGTCTGAACGCCGATGTTGCGGAGAACGGTGAATTCGATGGGGGTGAAGAGGAGGAGGTGGTGGTGATGGTGATCGGTGATACCTTCATACCATTCTCACTGTATTGTCTGTGATAATTGGAGTACAATTGTTGTTGTTGATGCTGTTGTTGCTGTTGATGCTGTTGATGCTGCCTCGCGGAATTTTGCGGCGACTGACCGTTGTTCCTACACGTCCGATCCCTGTCCCTGTCGTTCATCTTGTCCCTGTCGGACTCGTCTTTCTCGGCCGTTGGGTCTGACATGTCGATCTCCAACTCGTTCGACGAGTCGTCCACCAGTTCGTTGAAGTCGGGTGGATCGTATCTCGAGTATTTGTCCGTCTGCCTACCTTGAGCGTCCACGTGAGTACCGATCATGTTTCTGTCCTTGTTCGACAAAGATCTCACCGGCACTGGCCTGATTTTACCCGGCTCAGTCACATTGTTCACTTGGTTCTGAACGATGCCGCACTCGTTTTCCGTCTTTAACAAATTGTCCAGATCCTTTTTCACTTTGCCCGGGTGTTGTTGCTGTTGTTTCGTCACGTCTTGTTGTTGCTTCAGCTGTTGCTGCTGGGATCTGTTGCTTCGATCTTGTTGACCGCGGAAAGATATCACGTCTTTCAGGGAACATCCCGCGTCGTTGCTTGTCGTTGACGAAGTGGACATCGACGAGGGCGACAATTTCGGATTTTCCTTCTTCTCTTCGAACAAATTCTCGAAATTCGACTCGTATTTATCCTCGTCCGTATTGCCTCGTTGATACAAAGAACCTCTAGGACCTGGCCAACTTCCGGACAAACTTTTCAAAGCGGCCTCAGTCTCTCTGATGAGAGTCTCATCGTCCTCGGGCTCCTCCGAGTGTTTGCTCGATTTTCTCGCAGGACTACCCGAATTTCCAGCAGCGAAAGCTCGTTTCTTTTGTGGCAACGGTATATTCTTGCTCGAGTCATTGGCGTCAAGCGATTTACGCGTCTCATCGTCACGGACGCTTTTCCTTCTTCGTTTAGCGGCAGCATCAGCTGTCTCCATTTCTTGGGGAATGATCGCTTGAACAGCCTTCTTGTTGATCAAGGGTTGCTGCTGCTGATAATGCGGCTGTTGTTGTTGTTGTTGTTGTTGTTGTGGCTGCTGTTGTGGTTGCTTAGGATTTGGGCTGACAGATTCTGCTTCCAGCTTCCGTTTTTTGAGATGAGCCATCGCATTCTGGCCACCTGGCACGCTGGTCAGTTCCACCCTGGAACACAAAAATTCCAGAGGATCAGGAAATCTGCTCTCTCATCGGATGCATGGATGCGCATTGAGTTTTGATCAATGGAATGCAATCAGCTCGATCAAGTTTGCTCGATATCTAACGAAACCGATTCCCGTAGCTGGGAAACAGAAGCTCTGTCAGTTTCCAAACAATTCAGACCACCCGTCCCAGATCGTCTTCTCTATTCTTTTTTTTTTTTTACCTTTTGCCTTTTATTTTCACTGTTCACTTTCTTTTCGTTAACGTTTGCAAGCCTAAAGTAAACCTCGTCCTCTTTAAATAAACTTCACCTGAAATTCGTCGAGGTCCATCGAGGACATCGGCCTCGAGTCCTGGAATCTTTTCCATCCACTCCCTCTCTCTCTCTCTCTCTCTCTCTCCCTCTCTTTCCCCCTCCCCTCCCTCTATCTCTTTCTCTCGAGACTTCTCTGCCGAGATCTTCAGCCGAACACTCGAAATCTGCCAGCAACTGTTAAAAATCCCCTTCTTATCATCGAACGAACACACTCCCTTCTTTCCTTTCCTCGTTCTCTTTCTCTTTTCTCTTTCTCTACCCCTCTCTCTTGCTCTCTCTCTCCCTCTCTCTCTCGTTCTACACGATTATTCAAATTATTCTCACGTAATCTCGACTCGGAATCGGCAAGACATGGATCGTGGACACACGTTCCGATATCGTCACGCACGCGCGCGATCACGCACCAGCCACGCGTTCCTCCTCGGCTCGGCTTTGAACCGACTCGATATATACATATATATACACACATATATATATATGTATATATTCGATAGATATACAGACACCGTTGCCTTTGTGTAGCCACAAGTGCGCGCGGGTGAGCCCTTCCACGCAGGATGCTCGCGAGCTACTGTGTGCTATGTTTAAGTTCGCACGGGGGTGGCGATCTTCCACCACGGTTGAGGAGGGGATGAAGGCTTGCGCGAGCAACCGGCAGCTTCTGCTTCGCCGCGAGAAGTGGGGGCGGGTTCTGCGCACTGTCCACCCCTTTTAGCTAGGAACGCGATTCCCGGCCTCCCAGCACAACCCCCGTCACTCACCTCAACCACCCCCGAGCGTAGGGGAGTAGGGGACACGGCCCCTGGACCTCCACGGCGAAGGTGTTCAGTGTGTTACGGGCGTCTGTACATACCTTCGCCCCCCTCCCGTTTATATTCACCCACATCTTAACTTCAACCCCCTCCACAGTGGCCTGTCTAGCCACGATCTACGTGTACCTCTGTGCTACCTGGTTTCTCTTTCGCCGCCTTTAAGAGTCCTGGCTACGCCGCTGGTCCCCGGCCAGAGACCTCTTCCGGCCTTTTTTCCTTTCTTTTTTTTTTTTTTTTTTTTCACGTTTAGTCGAAGACGGATGTCTGCCTCTCGTAACGAGCAACGTCAAATTCAATTAGGGAATTAAAGAGGCAGCGACTTAGACTTGATCGTCTATTTACCTTTGATTACGCGTGTCGCGATGGAAACGAATCCTTGCCACGATTTTTTGTAGTTTTTGTCCGTTCGACAGTTTCAGGCTTGTGATTCTTTCAAAATATGAATTACGACTGTCGAGTAAAGTCTAAAGTTTACGAGCAGGAGGGCCTTAGTTTATGAGTGGAGGGGGTGAAAAAAGAATAGCATTATCAATAAATATTATTAAACAATCGATATATTGAATTTCCTCGAGATTAACGATTAAAATTTATCTAGAAATTTATTTTAGACATATAATAAAATTTTATTTCTCGAGACATTTTTTCTTTCTGTACTTCAAGCCGAATCAAAGTATTTCGTAGATCTAAAATAAATCTAGTCCAGAATAAAAATTAATCAGATATCCGTGTGCAATTATATTTAAACGATATTTAAACGATCGAGTATTATGTAACAAAACGTGCAGGCACGTTACTCGGTCGAATTCATCTGGACACGTTTACCCTGTTCTTCGTTCTTCGTTTCGCAAGAGACAGTGTTATATTTTCAATCGGCGAGGCTAGCCAAGGATTGGGCAGCCCATACGGTTTAGAGCGATAGCAGGAAGCTACAACTCGAATTAGATAAACCCGGAGGTTCCGAGAGGCGGTGCAGGAAGAAGAAGAAGAGCAGGATCAGCGCGAGCGCTTAGCGGGAGCTTGAGAAGGATCTCTGGAGCGGGAGGGCTTTCCTTAAATCCTAAACCCTCCTCACGGGGAAGCTTGGAGAGTTTAGAGCAACGAACTCGTAGAAAGGAAGGAGAATGTGCCCTCTCCTCGAGCAAAATCGCAAGTTAAATCGCACCAAAGGCTTAAGACATTATCACTTTTCTTTTCCGGCCAGTGCTCATTGGTCCAGCGGCCAACGTGTTCGGGGATTCGAGAGCTAAACGAGCGAATGAAGGATAGAGAGAGAGAGAAAGAGAGAGAAATAGAGGAAGAGAGAAGATTGAGGGAAGAGGAAGGAAGGCTGAAGCGGAGCAAGGAAGAGGTTGAATCCCTTCCAGTTAGGGATCAATGCTTCCTCGTCCACCCTCCAATTACGTGTCATCCCTTATGGCCTGTGGGGAATAATTAGAAAGCAGCCCTTCTCCTCGACCGAGTACCTACGTCCGTCGACGTGGTATCGCGTAAAGATTGGTTTCGTTTTCGCGTTCGCAAGGAAAATGTCACGTCCGCTGTTAAAGTCTCTCAGTTATTGCGAATTGATGATCGTTGCTGAAAAATTCTTTTCAGCAAGAGGAACTTGTATACGAAGTTGCGTTCGATATTGGATAAATTCACGAATGTTCAATGTTCATGATGTTAATGGATCACCGAGAATTAGTTTTTCGATTCATAGTTCTGTTATTAATATCATTAGCAGTAAAAATAATCCACGTATGAAAACGACTTTTATCGATACTTCTATCTGATACTTTCAATCAATGATGAAAAATCTGAATGATTTTTTTTTCTTTATTGATAGAATATGCAAGAAGGAATCGTTCTTTGCCAATTTCTTTTAGATATTTGAATATAATAGATTCCAATAATAGTGATAGTGAATCGTAATTAACATAAACGAGATAGTACTCGTACAAAATCAATGTAAACTAAAGTACTCGGTTTAAGTGGTACGCGTTTGCTGTTCGACCTGTACTGACTGATAACAGTCCTCCCTCTCGACAGACATGAAGATTCTCGACACCTCAAAATCCGTACTCGTCAATTAATTAGCAAGTGCCGTTCGTAGCGGAGGAGATGGTTACCCAGAAACACGAGGCTGCAGAAGCGGACGATGGTGCCTCCGCTGAAGGGATTAGAGTATTAGGCGACGTCACGTCACTAGAGTCTAAAGGAGCCTCCTTGGAACTGTGCTCTCAGAGATAGCCCAAACTTACACACCCCCTTCGTCTTGCCGATGGTTCTTCAAGTACTCTCCCCGTCTCTCTCTCTCTTTCTCTTTCTCTTTCTCTCTCTCCTACACTTTCCCTCTCCATGCTTGCCATCTTAGTCTCGCTCACTCTCTCCTCATCTTTGGCGTTCGTCCTTCTTCCAAACCCTCGACAATTCCAATTAGATAAACCGCGCCAGGATCACTTGGTATTCTTAGTCGAGGTTAAGTCTGTATTCGGATTTATATCGAAACGATTGTAAAATATCGGTATTTAAGAGATGCTTGCCTTGGATCAATTGATCGAGCGAAATCGAATATTTTCAATCGAAATGAAAAATTGTATTATAATTTTGAACATTTTTACGATTCATTTTTATATCCCCTCGTCGAAAGGATCCTCTACTTCGTTTTTTTTTTACATTTTGTAAATATATAACGCATCATATATTTTGCTACTTATTCGTTTCTCGGTATACGAATGAGAATGATTCTCGTCGCACCTACTCCGCTTGAACACCCATCGAGGGTGTTCTCGCGAAAGGAACTCGTACATCTTTTTCTCGCCGACGTTCAAGGATGGGGGAGGTCGGCGGTGGGCGAATGCCGGATAATTTAAGGGTCTCTCACGCGTGGATAATGGGGAACTTGGCTAATGCACCCCACTTGGCACCACGTGGATTCGCGTGAGTTTTGCGACTCGGTCTCCTCTCGCCACCCTTCGCCTTCTTAAACGTTGAACGGGGGCACAATGTGACTTCACAATGTAACAACAGATTCTACGCAATTTTATACATCCATAAAAATTCATAATTTCTCCACGATGATTTGGAAACAACGTTAACATATTCACGAATATTATCCTTGCTTCCCTTCTTAATTTTTTTTTTTTTTTAATAATAATTACCAATTCTCTAAATCTTTTCTAAAATTCCAACAAATCTTCGAAATAACAATCGTTTAACAATCGTCAAACTCTCAGACACGACAAGAATGCCGAGGACTCTTATTTAACCAGTGACGCGCCATTGTCTGACCATCGACGGTGGCATTCTACTGAGCACACCGTTCCACACCGAGAAACCTAACGAATTGGCTTTATTTCTAAAGGGGATCCGGGCATGCTATTCTCCGTTGAGCCGCTTTCACAACGAGGGAAGGATTTTAAAGCGTACTCGTGTCGTCGACTCGGCCATCAATCGCGAGCGCAGGAAGAACGCTCCTGCGATCGGGACAGCTGCCCGATTCGGACATCGGCTCCGGGGAATAGTTGCTCGCCCCATTCGCCTAACTATCCGCCCTTACGTCAACCGCTTCCCACCCTCGTTCCACTTTCTTCTTTTTCTTTTTTTTCTTTTTTTTCCTCTCGCATCCTCTCGCAGACTGACGTCTTAAAGCAATCGAATTCTGATCAAATATTTAACAGCAAGCCCGGGGACAACCGGGCTTTAAGTGGCTCGACTCCATCCTCCATGGCCGACCATACCCTCCCTCCTCCGTGTAAGAAACGCCTCACATCGAGTTTCGAGGATAGTTTAAGTGAGAAATATATATATATATATATATTTTTTTTCCTCTTTATTTTTTGAAGTTTTAAGTGTTCTTAGAAAAGTTGTTTTCTCATAAATCGGTGTGCCATTTC